GCCTGACGCGGTTTGAACCGTTGGGGCTGGCGATACTGCGAGGCCGACCTGGGGGAAGGGCTGCAGGACCCCCCCCGCCCCCCCGCAGAACTGCCCCAGTGACAACCCCGACCCCAGGCCTGAGCCCGCAGCCCCCGGGGCTGGGAATGGGGCCGCCAGCAGCCGCCGGCTTTGGAACCCCCCAGCCCGTGCCAGTGGGTGCTGCACAGAACCCGGGGGGCAGGGTTGGGGTCTTTGTAAGGTGACCCCCCCACGCCCCAGGGATGCCCAGGCTGGCCTGGAGCCCAACCCCCTGAGCTGGCCATGGCGCACCCCCACCCCCTGCACAAACCCAGGGGCACCACCCCCAGCCCTGCCCGGACACCCCAACGCCCCCGTGGAAGCCAGAGGCCAGAGGCAGGGTCCCTTCCTCCTGGTTTTATTGTGAGCTCCGCAGCTGACGCCTGGGAAAGGCCAAGAGAGAAACACGGCAAGGACATGGCGAAAGAGGAGCAGTTACACCAGATACATACGCGGGGGGGGGGGGGGGGGGGAGCTCAGATCCTGGGGAGGGGGCTCAGCCCCCCCCCGGCCCACGCTGTCTTGTTTGAGGCGGAGGGAGTCATTTACAGCTGCTATTCACAGTATGTACAGAACAAAACCGACCCGACCGACGCACGGACCCGAACCGCGTACAAAAATAAAGGCTCTACGGGGCGGGCACCACCCGCTCCCCCGCCCCAGCTGCACCCCGGCTGGCGGAAAATAGAAATCAATTGCTACAGTACAGTGTTCAGACATGGCACCGCTCCCCCCAGCTGGCCACGGGGCCCCACCGGGCGCTGGCTGGGGCCACCCGCATGGCTTGCGCCTGCCCAAGGCCCACACCCGGTGGCACATCGCTCGGGTGGGCCCTGCCCATGTTGCTCATCCCCCCTGCCCCAGGGCAGCCCCTGGCCGAGGACCCCGGAGGTGCTGGCCCCAGGGGATGGTGCGTCCAAGGGCTTTGGTTCGAAAGCTCGCTGAAGCATTTGGGGGGGACCAACCTCACTCATTATTGCTTCACTCCTGCGGGGTGGGGGGGAGGGGGTGCAGGATGGCACACGCCAGCCCCAGCCTGATCCCACCTCCCTGCCCTCTCACTCCCCCCCAAAGGACTCATTTGCCATACAACTGCCCCCTCCCAATGCAATGGGAAGAAACTCTGGTTTCCTGCAGGAGGGATCACCCTGACTTTTCACCCTGGATGTAACCCCCAAGATCACCCCCCCAGAGCGAACCCTGCACGTCCTGCAGACAGAACCGGGCAGGTGCAGACGCGGCTAGTGGAGCTGGGGGGGGGGGGAGCTGCCCCCCCCCCCGCCCTTTAGCACAGGGAGACCTTGAGGAAATGATTCTAAAGCCGCAGCTCCACCTGCCCCCTCCAGGTGCTGGGCATTCGGGGGGGAGGGGGGAGCAGCCCAGCCTGGCTTCCCCCCGGCCCAGGGAAGGCAGCAGCCCCCGGGCCCAGCTCCCGTTTGCCGGGGATGGCGTCCCGCGTCTGCACGAGCCCACCCAGCTCCTGCTGGAGCCCTGGAGCCGCGCTGCAGCGCAGCCCGCCAGGGTCTGCGAGGCCACGGCCAGAGGGGGGCGCTTGTTCCACTCCCCCCTCGCCTGCCCCCACAGCCGCCAGCGCAGGGAGAGGGCTGGGGGCTTCAGGAGCCCGAGGGGGGTCAGTTAAAGCCCTCGGGAGCTGCATCCTGAGTCCCGAGGGTCGGCCCCCTGGAACGCCCGGCCCCCACAGCGGTGCCCGGCTGCCCTGGTGTTGGGGGCCTAATGCCGCAGAGGGCACCAGGCGGGAGCCCCAGAGGACGGTCCGGAGCCCAGCGCCCCCTGAATCCAGCTTCGGCACCTTCGACTATCGCCTGGGCGCCTCCTGCAGCGGCGGTGCCCGCGGCCCGTCTGCTGCCAGCTGGGGGTGTTGGCAAGTCAACTCAAAGTGAAGCGAAGCTGGTTCCCAGCTGCTCGGGGGGGTGGGAGAGCAGCTGGCTGATACAATCAATCCATGCGGTCGGAGCGCCGTATTTGTGCAAACGGATGAAGAGAGGAAGACTTGGCTGGCTGGTCGCTCGGAGAGCGGCTGCTTCGGGCGGGGGGGGGGGGTTGGAGCTTCGCCATTTAGTTCCCCCTTTTCAAAAGTTAAGCCCCCTCTCGTCCTCCCAGGAAAGGGGGGGCTATGGCCTCAGTGGTGGAGGGGAAAGAGGGGGACGAAATGAACCCCCGAGCAATGGGAGAAAAAAATCTGATTACAGAAAAATAAAACAACTTCTCCCCCTCCCCCCCCAACTTTCCAAAAATAATAATTAATTTACAATAAATTACCAGGTGCGTTAAAAATAACCCAGACCCCACAACCATCCCCTCCCCCCGCAATAATAAATTAAAATCATAGTAACCACCGTTGTGCGGCCCGGAGCAGCCGGCAGCGTTGGCACGAAGACCCCAGGCCAGATCTAGGCTGGCTGAGGGTCCCGGCTAGGACTGTGTGCTCCGATCCTGCTCTGCGTTCATTCCTGATTGTTTAAAAAAATAGATCTCTAAAGGGCGTGGGGAAGGGAAAACCCGAATGGAAAGCGAAAAGCGCCCGGCCCCCGGCTGCTCCAAATCAAAGAGAATCCGAATGGATCAGTAAAAAAACCAGCAAAGCCGCAGACGTGAGGTGGAAGAGTCCGGAGGGCTTGGAGCTCCGCTGTGGGGGGGCCGGGCCCGGGCCCAACCCCCTCTACAGTTGCTGTGTTTGTTCCCTTTGTTGTGGTTTGGTTTTTTCAAAGTTTTTCTTTTTTTTTCCTTTTTCTTTTTTTCTTTTTTTGTAAAAAATACAATAAAAATCCCCCCAACTAAAACCAAAATTAAATTAAATGGAATTGTTTGCTGGTCCCCCCCCAAAAAGAGTCCATGGCGGGGGGAGCGTGTGTGTGGCTTTAGTTTTGTTTCCCGCCGGGCGGCCTAGCCGAAGCCCAGAGTCACGGTGCCCCAGGGGCTGTGTGGTGTGCCAGTCCGTTCTGCCCGCCCCCCTCCTCCGGGGACAGGCAGGGCAGCTCCTCCTCCTCGCGGCCCGACTGATCCGACTCCTCGCCCTCCTCCTCCAGCGTCAGTTCGAACTGGAATTTCTCCAGGCAAGCCTCCTCGGCCTTGTCCTGCTCGTCCGGGGGCGGGGAGGGGCTCTGCGGGATCATGCTGTGGTACCAGTCCCGGTTGTCCTCCAGCGTGTCCAGGATCTCCTGGGCGTCGGGGTGCACCAGGTCCGCCCACGTCTCCCACAGCGGGTGAACGATGTAGTCGATGAAGCCCACCTGAAAGGCAGAGCCAGGGAGGTGAGAATCAGAGCAGCTGGGGTCTGGGGCCCTGATCCCGGCCGGGGTCTGGGCAGCGCCCAGCGCAACGGGGCCTGATCTCGGCCGGGGTCTGGGCGGCGCCCGGCCCGACGGGGCCCCGATCTCGGCCGGGGTCTGGGCGGCGCCCGGCCCGATGGGGCCCCGATCTCGGTTGGGGTCTGGGCGGCGCCTGGCGTGATGGGGCCCCGATCTTGGCTGGGGTCCTGATCTCGGCTGGGGTCTGGGCGGCGCCCAGCCCGACGGGGCCCCGATCTTGGTTGGGGTCTGGGCGGCGGACGGGCCGACGGGGCCCCGATCT